ATCACTGGAATACAGAAAAACTAAACAAAGTACACAGAGGTAAAACATGTATCTTGAATCAAGGAACAAACAAACAAAAACAAACCCAAACAAACAAATTACTCAAGGAGGAATTTCCACTAGGTGAAGCAATATGGGGAAAATAGAAAACATTTCCTAATCATTATTTCCTCATCATTATTTTCAGCCTTGAGTGCAAGCACTTGTAAATGAAAGCTGTCTGATGAGATCTCAGACTTAGATGATATTTAACTGAGTTCTAAAAGACAGAGTAAGTGTGCTTTTAAATGAACGTGAAAGGGACAACAGAACGTGCAGTAACTATTTTTCTCTTTTGCTGTGATTAAAAGACTCAAATGAAACAACGAATATATTTAAACAGTATTTGGTTATTTAAAGAAATAAACAAGCATGAAGGTGAATTTGAACATAAGTGGTTAGGGCGTCATTTCCCGGGGTCAAAGGAAAGAGATGGGAGAATCAATCAGAGACACACATGCAAAACACTCTCACACTTTTTCTTGTGTTTGAAGATGTGCCTGTACAATTTAATTTGAAACCAAGTCTCTCAGAAATATACATAACAAGCTGTACATGCCTGTCTTGGAATGTTTAAGTTGTATTTCCACGACATATGGAAAACATCTGCCTATCACTATGTAGTATGGATCCACTCTCTAAATCCTTTAAAGACTTTAAAGTACTTAAAGTCTCTGTGGATTTGGTTTCCAATAGGAACAGGAATATTGGCCTCCTGCTTTTTCTTCCATTTTAATTTGTGCTTTGGAAGATAAACAGGCCATGCATTGGATTCTAGAAAAAGTTTATATGTGTTAGTTGAAAATCCTGCAGTTAGTACAATTTTACCACACCAAGTTCAAAGAAGATACAATAAAGGCCTAATCAAAAACTGACTGTAAATTAAATTAAAGTGTAACTTTGAATAGCCTCAGTGTTATTTTTCATAGTGCCAGCTTGTAACAACCAACAGAGCCTATCACACCTACAGACAATACCACAGTGCAGCACATCCAGCCATACCCCCATTCCACTCCTGACTCTAGAGAGTAGGTAGCCTTCATCTGTCAGAAATCCTTGGTTTCCCATATAGGGTAGTTTTAAGAGAGCAGAACAAAGGGGACTTGGCAGGATCTAGGCTATTACCCTATCATTATTCATCTGTGGTAACTGAAGATTTCTCAACCATGATCAGAAGTGATGTGTTTTATATCCATATATACTGGAAACGTGTAAATCCCTGCCCGGTATTTCCCCCTCTTATACAGGAGGGTCATACATCTTTTTCTTTCGCAACAAAGTTTGTTTCATGTAGGCTGTGCTATAAATATAATGTTTGTTAAGCAATTTGGAATTTTTCAGGATGGACAGCATAAGGGACAGTCATAAGGGAAAGATATTTGCTAATGAATTATCCCAAAGAAATTAGCAGGCAGGAGAAGTTATTTTCCTACCTCACAAGTTCAGTTTTAGGTCACATTTTATCCACATTCTTTGTCCAAAACCCCCACAGATATTATTGGGTGAAATCTTAAGAGAACCTAACTTATTTAGAACAAATTTCACTGTAAATTAATGAGAGTTGTGCTCCTAAATCACTTAGGCTTCTTTGAAAATTCTACCCAGTTAGGCTATGACTACACTACAGGCTTCTTTCAGAAGAAGCTTTTCCGGACAAGATCTTCCAAAAAAACTCCTTCTGAAAGAGTGCGTCCACACTGCCAAAGTGCATCGAAAAAGTGATCTACTTTATTGAAAGATAGCGAAAACACTGAATGGTCACTATCTCGCATTTAAATTGTGATTACTATGGATGGAGTAGCCACCAGGACACCTGTGCTTTTTCTTCTTTCCTCTTCTTGTGAAAGAACTCCCTCTTCCCCGTCCACAAACACCTTTTTCTGAAAGAGCTCTTTCGGAAAAAGGCCTCTTCCTCGTAGAAAGAGGATTACCGATGATAGAAAAACCCCATTGTTCTTTCAATTTTCTTTTGAAAGAACGCGATTGCAGTGTGGACATGAGTGAAGTTTTTTCAGAAAAACTGCCATTTTTCTGAAAAAACTCTGTTGTGTAGACATTTAGATGTGCGCATGCAGTGTAGGGGCCGCATATGGCCCCTTGGTTACAAAATTGGTTTATTTTGTCACAGTCACATAGCTAAATACCAGACAACAAAGGCTATACTGAAAGGTGACGGGTATCACTGGGGAAATGACCAATTTAGCTACCGCAGCATAGCTGATACAGCTATGTTGATCAGTTTCTCTGTGTAGATAAGCCCTTGCATGTCAGTAAGTGGGGCTAGCAGAGGTCCAATTTATAATGATAGATAAAAGAACAACACATTACACTGACTTAAACTTCCCTAGATTTCCCCTTGAGTTTGAACTGAAATCTACATTTTAGTGACTAGTATAAAGGAGTGTAGATACTGTGTCCACTTTTGTGGCTAGGGTTGGCACTGCAAATGAGCCCCGGCCTACTTTCTCCCAGGGGAGTATCAGACAATCCCAACAGCAGGAACCAAAAGTCGGACACTAATAAAAAATAAGTGAGTGCCCTTCCATCAAGTCTCCTGGAAGGAGCTTGTTTAATAGCGGCCCTTACTTCAAGGCCCCTATTTACAAGCTCCTCAAGCAATGTCTCTGAATCAGGCTAGTCTTCTGGAGCCTGAGAGAACAATCACCACCCTTGGCAAGATGGATTACTTCTGCTCCTGTTTAAACAAGTCAGTACTAAGGCAGAGCAAGGAACCTCCTTCGTTGCACCTAGACTGTCCTTCTGAGTCTGGGGTACCCCTGAGAGTGGTTGTACTTTTCCTAAACAAGTAGATTTAATCAAGTATATTTTCTTTTCTGGACTATTTAGTTCTTACAGAAATCCTGCATTCCTTCCATATGCAGTTTAATAAAAGTTGCATCTCGCTGCTTAATTCTATGCATTCTATGTCCTCATTTTGCTACTGTGTCCACGTCAAGGCTCTGTGTCTCTCTGCTGATCTCTCATTATGAGTATGTGCAGTGCCTAATACAAGGCCCACAGAGTGCAGTTAGCACCTCTTGGGGCTACCATAAGTAAACTTTTACTTAACACACTGAGGCTTGCAGGTGTTGTGGGGAAGGCAGAAAGTTCCCTGGTCATCTGTCAATTGGCTCACGGACAGAAAGTTCCTTCTTGACCTCCCAGACAGGTTCCTTCTTGACCTCTCCACATGTCTCCTGCACTGAGCTAAACCCTGGGAGATAGGGAATTCTGGCCAATCAGCACCAATCACCCCCAACTGGTAAATGAGTGCCACAGTCTCCCTCCCCTTGCCACTGGGACTGTGCCCTTCACTGCTGGTCCCATCAATTTTCCCTGTTCACTGCTGCAGGTGGGTGGCATTCCAACATGTATGAAAAGTGTAATGTAATGATGAAGAACACCCAGTAATTTTTTCTCCACCCTGCCTATAGGTCTAGGGCTACACATTGCCTTTGTTTTACAAGCTGAACTCCCAAGGATGGCAATGCACATTGTTATCAAAGACTCATTACAAAACAGGACCCTCTCCACATCTCTCTCACTTGCTGCTGAATCAAGTTTTTGTAAAGAGCAGCACTTCACTCAGTGCCTGGCCAAGAGTAAAACACCATTGTATAGCAGGGTCTTCCCAGTATATTCTCCTCGGTTAAGATGGATCTAATGTCTTGTGATCACTGATGAGTATCCAGAGGTTATCACAGGAGTATTAACAAATAGCCAAACACCAGCAGATAGTACTACTTAACTTCATACAGTACATAGACAGACATCACAGTCATTTGTTAGCCATATGAATATGACATTGGAAACAAAACTCATCCTTCCATTCCATAAAACATAAGTCCCTCACATAGTATACTTTCCATTAGCTTTCACTGTTAGCACATAGCTCCTCTTCTGAGGAGCTGTGGATGCTAAAGGGATAGACCATTTGGAAATGAGAAATGTTAGGGCCAGGACTAACATTCCATGCAACCAAGGCTATTAAGGGATTCGGGCTGAAGGTGAATTTGACAGTTTCATACCATATGCAGATATTTGTGTTGCTTTGTTAAAAAAAGACACCTTCAAGGTAAGATGAGGGTGTTAAAATACAATAAATTGGGAACTAAGCTAGGAGCAAGAAGTACTTTATCTTGCATCCTTCAATTGCTTTTTCTGCTACCCTTCTGTAACCTATGTGCATGAAAGCGACACTCATTTTGCATAACCATGAAATGTCAAATTGTTACAAGTTACACCCTTTTACTGCTTATTATCATTTATACCCAGTTTCTAAGTAACTTATACCCATCATTTCATTTACACCATCATGTTACCATTGAACTTGACCCAAAAGGAGGACACTGAAACAATAAAAGGTTCAAACACTTTTGCAAAGTGTAACTGAGTTCTCCATAGCTAGACAGACAAAGGTAACCTATCGACCAACAATTTCATATAACACCTAATGCTAAGCAACAGTACTGTCTAAGCACTGGATGAATAGCTTATCCAAGAGTAATCCATTTGGGGCTTTTTCAAGTTAATTGAAAAATGCTGGCATTGTATTTTAGCTTCAATAGTCAAATTATGCAGCTGCTAAGTGAAAGTTACTTCTGAAATAAAATACCTCTATCTAAAAGAATTCTAGCTGTTTTAGTTTTTCTTCCAATCCTTCCGTGAAGAGAGACAGATCTTAATATAAAATGAATTCATAAATAGGTTCACTGGAAACAACTTGTTTTATAAAAAGGGATGTAAAATAGCACAAGAGAGTAAAAAGATTATCCTGCTTTCATCCATCAGATTCACAGAGATTTAGTCCCCCTTGTTCTCTTTGTCAGTGCTGCCTCTTCATGTTACAAAAGTCTAGTCTCAAAGGAAAAGTCACAGTTGCAAGAGCAGCTTTCCCCATTCTTTCCCCTCCTCAAGTTAATCCACCCACATTGTAAACTTTTAAGGTTCAAGATTGTGCAACTTGCACGCCTCCCCCTACTCCCATCCAAAAAAAATAACAGTCAGAAGCACTCTTATTACAGCAGTGGCACTGGCGTTACTCATTCATTCACATTCAGGAACTCTCCAAGTATTTATTAAGGGCTTTCTGGGTCTGACTCTGATAGTCTCATCTCTTCTCAATTCTGAGAGATCTTAACTCCAGAAGACTCAGAGACTTTTAGGAAAAAGCCGCAGAATGCTATCTAAAGAAATGCTTTCTTTGACAATTCTACTTTGTGCTCTCTGGTCTTCCTCCTCTGCTCTGAACAATGAGGACTATGATCTCATGTTCCTGAATTTCGAGAATGAAATAGAAAGCATGGTTCCTGCTACTGAAGAAAGTAAGTGGATTTAAACTAGTTTTGTGTTATTAAACACAAGATAGCAGTTTCTATAAAAAACAAAGAGAAGCTATTTAAATCATGCTCTTTGTTACTTAGCTCTTGCAACAATTATTGAAAACATACTATTTTTAAATAAAATGAAAGTTATTTTGGAAAAGCAGATTAACACAGACAGATGATACATATATTTTAGCATGTTCCTGAAAAATCTCTCTATACCCCTTATTATCAAGTTCTTCCTTATGAAAGAAATGTTGGGAAGGAAGCTAGGATTCTTAGAAAAGTCAAATTACACATTGCCTTGCCTTCTGTTTTAATTCTGAGGGAAAGCACTGGCAGCTTAGAGAGCATAGGCAATAAATTAGGAGAGATTTTATTAAATAACTCCTTTGTTTGAAAACATGAAGAGAAATAGTAACATCTGTGTCTTGTTCTTCAGCTATTTCATGTAACTGTCAGCAAGAGCATACAAAATGGGACAAACTCTTCATCATGCTTGAGAACTCACAGATGAAAGAGAACATGTTGCTTCAGTCCATTGATGAAATCCTTAAGGTGGAACTGCAAACACTACGAACAGAAATGATCCAGTTTGTGGCTAACTTTGCCGGCACATGCACCACCACCATTGAGAAAGTCACCTCCCAAGTCTTGTCCCAGGTGGACCAAACACTGAGGAGGAACAGCAATCACATTCAGGAGTCCAAGACACTTCATGAATCTGAGCAAAGAAAGATTCTTGATGAGATTCTGCAGCTAAGTCACAATGTGTCTAACAGACTCACCCAGCTGGAAAGCGTTTGGCAGAGGGCAGCTAAAGTGGAGACAGGTTTTCAGCAGCCAGATAAATCCAGTTACATAGCTAGAGAGGACAAGTTCATTTTGAACTCTCTGTGGGAAGAACTACAGCAAACACGAGCTGAACTGAAAGGATCGCAAAAGTGGGCAGCTCAGCACTCGCTGCCAGCTGGTAAGTCTGTGCCAAGTAGCACATGTCAGAATTCTCTCTTTTAATACCCTGTCCAGAACAGCAATGTCCAAACCTCAAACAAGCATTCTTAGGTCATGGATGTGTATGCTCTCTATAAAGAGCTGGCCTGCTTTTCAAATGTGAGGACCAAAGAAAAATCCAATAAATTATTATTAGAGTAAATCAACCCCAATGGTTATGCTGAGGCTAAGAGAGGCTTCCAGACTAAGGCTGTGATCAACAAACAGTAGACATAGTCTGTTTAAAATAACAATGAAATCTTGACATTTTCTTGCTCTTCATCTTCCCAGGTCCAGATTGCCACCTTAGTTCACGTAAACCTTTCATTTTCTCCATATCTGCAAGGCTTTACCTTTTCTAACCCAACTGCTACATCCATCTCACCAAATTCTAGCTGGGCACTAGGAGCATCAACTCACAATGTCAACAGGCAACAGCTAATCAAATGTCATGCTTCTGGGCAAATACAACTCACCCTCGGCAGGTCAGGAAGAAACAGCTTTCCCTGTGCATATTGTATGTAGGGGTTTGTTTTCTTTTTCAGTATGAGACACTGATGAAATCTAAGGTCTGGACACTAGGCTAGATGGGTCCAGCAGCTTGAGTTAGTATTTCAAATCCTGTGTTGTATGTTTTCTATACACTGTTGTGTGGTACCTGACTGAAGTAATTACAGAAACTAAAGAGGTATAAGAAATATTACTCCCACCACATTACAATTTTTTCAGATATAAAGCTCAAATCTATTGAATGTCTATAACTCCAACTGTCATAAATATTACCAATATAACGATTTTATGGACCAAAATTTCTAGCAAGGACAAAAATGCATGCACATTGGAATCATAAAACCCCATATTTGTGTATACATGTGGGAAGTGAGGAATGCAGTTACACAGTTTGTGCTGGAGACCATGCAGTGATGCTGCAAATGTGAGTTCTTACAAAAGTAAGCCGCATGTGTAGGCATATATCATACAGCTTTGAAAATGTAGCCATAAATGCAAACAATAATTCACATTTGTACCCATTAAAATAATATTAAGGCATTTTATAACCTTGAACAAGATGTATCCTATAACAATAAACCACAAATTCAGTTTTAATTTAGAATAGCTTTGTAACCAGAAGCAGTGGGTGAAAATAGTATATAGTGTCATACTAGCACGGGGAAGAGAGGAGGGTGATAGAGGCAATGATTACACAGCAATATTCCTTTTGCTTGTGCAAAATGTTGTCTTTTCCAAAACTAGTATGACAGTAAGATCGTTATTCAAGTCTCTCCCTCAATATGCCAAACTCATACTATGAAAGAAAAGTGAAGCCGCTCATTCAGTTTTCATTTTTGCATATTTGTATGAACCAGAGGGCAAGATAACTTAGTAGTAGTGTTCTGACATGTTTAACCATTGCATTTCTATCTCATATCCACTGTGTGTGAATCCAGAGTAATGCTGTTGATTCATTAGACTTACTCCTGAATTACAGCTATGTAAATGTGGCAGAATCTCTCTACATATTTTTACAGAAAATATCTTATTCTATCTATCTGTTATAATATATTAGTAATATATATATTTAAATACTTCATATGACTCTCTGGAGATCTTTTCCAAGAGATTTTCCAGCAACTGGTTTTGATTTCTCACATCTTGAATTACTGCCAGACGTACTTCTTAAGGGATTTTCTAAACACACTTTTGTTGTTCTTCGATGAAGCTGGTTTTAATTTTGTTTAGTCCTCAATAATAAAGCCAGAAACTCTGCTAATTAAAAAGCTGTTTCAAGATAGTATTCCTAACATTTTTAAGTAGTGTCTATCTACAGCTGCTCCCCACCATATACCCACCCCTCAAAAAAGCCAATGAAAAAAATATTTATTGTGCTGAAAGTTCAAAGCAACCAGCATATGAAATAATGCAGCAGTCTAATCCTGGAAGGCAGAAAGAGTCTTCATTCATTAAAACAAAGATTTTAGAGCATATTTTAGACATTTTAGCTTCTATAGCTTGCTTCAACAGGAAATGTCAGCTTAATTGTAGCAGAACCTCTTCTAAGTCAACTAGAATATTAATGTATCATATATTAACTAGACAACAGTATTGAGACTGTTAAATATGCCTGTGGATTTATCATTAGTTACTTTTCTTTCTTGAATGGATTTCTGTTATTGGCCATCACTAATCTAATTTTTGTTATCAAGACACCCATCATCACTGATTGAATATGGGAGCAGAGCTTTTTAAAAAATTAGTCTTTTTAGTTCATTTATATTAACTGTCGGGAGGGGAGCAATTTAGGGCAGTTGAAAGTTAATGAGTAATAGCACTAAAGCCACGTTTGGAGTAGGCAAGCAGTTTTGTAAATTCCTCTGCATGGCTCTGTCAATCGCCTGCCTTCCAACACCCATTGTTCTGGTCCATGCCTGGAGGGACCACCACCTGTGACAAATCAAGTGAAGAAATTATGGTGGGGATAGATATGCACAGGGAAGTAGGATGAAAACACTGAGCTCATTTTCACATGGGAACTAATCAGGATTTTAATCTATTCTAGTTGAAAAGTTGTTCTGTAATGTATTGTGTGCCAGATTCTGTTCAGTTACGCCAGTGTAATTAACTAGAATAACTGGCATGGTGTCAGTGGAGTTGCTCTGGATATACACTGATATAACCATGTTCAGAGTCTGGCACAGTGGGCCTCTTTGATTCCATTCCTTTCTATATGCAAAAATATTAAGAAATGAACGACAGCATTTCCTTTACTTAGAATTGTGTTTATCTGAGTCATAATGTCTTCATGCTATGTCATGTGTTCAGAACACCAGGGAAATTTTTCAAAAGCAGCTAAATGATATAACAGGGTTGGTCAAAGGTGACTTTGGCACTTATAAGCTTAAGTCTCTTCAAAATCAATGGAGCATAGGCTAGTCTGTCACTTAGGCACTTTCCAAAGTTGTAGCCATTATCTAATATGGTAATACACTGTATTGTTCTTTGTAATCCATATAGTATGTGATCATAGCTATCCAATGTTTGTGTTTCACAAGTTATAGAAGAAATTTCCAGCTACTCTAAGAGGAGCGTATAGAGGCATTGAGTTTCTCTCATGACAACAGCATTGCTCTTTCCATGAAACGTATTCTTAGGGAGAAAATAACACTGAGACTTAAAAAAAAAAAAGACACACATGAAACAAAATGTGTCATTGTGCAGAGATGCTGTAATTTTTTTATAGCCACTTCTTTGGGATGACCTGTCTGATTCAAGCCACTTCTTTGGGATGACCTGTCTGATTCAAGCAATGTGATTATCTCAATCCCATGGCAATAAAAGATTCAATTCATTCAGTTGATCACACATTCCTACAATATATTGCATGGTTTGGGATTTTCAAAGAAGCCCAATCCCTTTGAAAAGCCCAGACTAACGCAGTAAGTTTATGTCAAGAATTCAAACTATGAAGTACAAATACTTCACCTTTTACAGAAATTAGATGGGGTAGAATAACATTTCTAATTCTGTTTTTTTCCCCCCCTCAGGATGTGAAACTGCGATTTTATTCCCAATGCGTTCCAAAAAGATCTTTGGGAGTGTTCACCCAACTGTTGAAATGATGCTTCAATCCTTTACTGCCTGCATTTGGGTCAAAGTGACTGAGGTGCTGGACAAAACGATTATATTCTCCTATGGAACAAAGAGAAATCCATATGAAATTCAATTCTATCTCAGCCGTGAGTCTGCAGTACTTGCTGTGGGTAGTGACCAGAACCAGTTAATTGCTCCAAACACAACTTCTCCTGGACAATGGGAACACTATTGTGGCACTTGGAGCTCAGACAACGGGACCATATCATTGTGGGCAAATGGGGAGCTTGTCGCTACCGCCTCAGAAATAGCAGGGGCTCATACCATTCCTGATGGAGGAATTTTGCAGCTGGGCCAAGAAAAGAATGGTTGCTGTGTCGGGGGTGGTTTTGATGAAACTTTAGCCTTTTCAGGAAAATTGACTGGTTTTAATCTCTGGGATAGAGTTCTCAGCAGTGAGGAGATAACAGCACGGCCTAGAGCAGAAGATTCATGTAATATCAGGGGCAATGTTGTTGGGTGGGGAGTGACAGAGATTCTGACACATGGAGGAGCTCAATATATTTCTTAAATACTGAGAAACTAGATCCTGAACTGAAGAATGAATTTTCATTAACAACAATATACCAATAGGTACAAACAAGAGGGTCTAAATTCTTAAACTTCAAGAAAAAATTGTATTACAAGTACACAAGAGGTATTCAGGTATTGGATTTGATCTCTGTCTGCTGTCTTGGCCAAATTATATTGGAAAAGATGTCTTTAAATACAGATAAACTGCTAACACTCTAACTTAGCGTTTTCAGATTCATGGCCATGGGGCTATTTGCACACAGTTGAGAGCAAAATGTTGTGCTTACATTCATGGCTAAGCTAAAAATATGCAAACAATGGCTGGAACTGCTTTTATAGAACTTACATAAGACTGTTGCATTTGCTCTGTGATTCCCAGTTTGTTTTCATATTGTTAATGTCACTCTTATAAATGAAACATCTGTGATTTATAAAGTAATATTTGTTGTTGTTTATTACTCTTTGTTACTGGTATGTACACTATCATGAAGTTACTGTCTTCTTTGAAACATTATTTATGCTAAGGATTATTCTAATGTATAACTAGACATAGTATTCCCCATAATAGCCCAGTGTTACCTTTTGTGAAGATACAGCTGTATTATATTGTAAATGGATTTTGTAATAATTTTATTGAAATTATTTTTGTAAAGTTGTCTTGTAAATAAAATACTTTATCAAACTGACACTGCCCACAATTTGTCCAGAAGATGAATGTTGACAGTAATACATTACATGCTGTTTTTTCACATCAAGTGTTAAGGAGGGGCAAAGCAGGCAGGGAACTAACTGGCTGAGGCCTCCACAGGCCAAATCTTGTGTCTTGGGAAGTTGGATTCAGTCCCAATCTTTGTCAGCCCTGCAGTAGAGACTTATGTTCTAAGCTCCAGAGGTTCCCCGGTTCAATTCTGCCTACAGACAACTATCTTACAGTATCACAGAAACAATAAGGAATTCAGACAAGGTAATTTTCTCTCTACCTTGAAGTTTTCTGCCTCCAAGTACACTCTCTCTCTCTCTCACACACACACACACAGTGGCATCTAGTGCAGGCGTTCTCAACCTTTTTCTTTTGAATGCCCCACTCCCAAATGCCAAAAAAATTCCATAGTCGGGGAGGGGTGTCTCTGGGATTCAGCCTTGGGGAAGGAGGGGCTTCTGCCCTACAGAGTGGTTTTGCAAGCCGTATGGGATGAGGAGCTCAATGGTTTTACCCCCCAGGGCAGGGGACTTAGTGTTTCTGCCCCTGGAAGCATTGGGGCAGCTCCGTGCTTTGGCTTGGGACTTCAGCCCTGCAGGGTGTCTTATGCTGTGGCTTGGGGATTTTGCTTGATAGAGTGCTGGGGCCCAGAGCTCTGGATGGCTCAGCTTGGTGGAACTCCTAAAATGGCTCTCAGTGCACCGTGGACTCCTGCTGATGTTGCCAACATGGCTTATCCTACCTACAGTCTAATTGCTCTGAGACAAACAGATACACCAAGAACAATGTAGCTGCATTAAAAATGTTCAGTCATACAAACTTCAGACATTGATTCAGTGAAATTTACAAACAATCTTTGCAGTGGAGAAAATTATGAGATTCCAAGATCAAATAGCATCCCAAATAATCTGCTCTGGACCAGAGGATGCACCTTCACATTTCAGGGAACTCAGACATTCCAAACCAACAACTTTGTCAAGTCCATCTCTATATACTTTGTTCCATAAAATATAGACAAACACATACATTAATGTTGCAGAACAATTACAACTTCAAAAAATAATTTTCAAGACTATCTCTACCCCACTTCCCTGTTCCTGTACCTAACAAACATGCTATGGTTCTGGGATAGCCTTTCATCTGCTACCACACCCGGTCTAATTTGGAAATGTTCCGTAGCTGAAGATGAATACCGTATGCTCATTTTCAGGCCTTTGATTCCCCTCCCCCCCCTCCTCCTTCAACTGGACACCCATCTGCCTACCAGCTGCTGCTCTTTTCTTCTTATTCCCCTGAGTAAAATGGAACCTTCCTCACTACCCCAGCCACCTCTTCTGGGGGTCAGAAATCTCTCTGCCAAGCCGGAAGTAGAGTGCCTCACATTCCCTGCATACCCAGTGCAGCCCCATCTCATTCACTTTGCAATCTGTGCACTGAAGGAGGTGGACTCCTGTAGAAAATATAGCATGTGGGCACATAGCTCATTGTGTTGTATTGCAATTCATCACTCAGGAGGCAGATTTAAGGCTGTGTGGGTGACTTTGTTGTTTCCCAGCTTTTGGTGCTTCCCTAACTTTAACATTCTTTAATGTCTTCTTCCTCTGGAATATATAATACGATGCCTGCTAGTAAACACCAATATCCCACACTGAAAATACTCCCTGGATGTTGCAAGCTTTTGCAGACCCAGTATAATTCTACCATGTGCATGTGGGAGTATGGGATTTAGGAAGCCTGCTGTGTCCTGTCAGGGCTTCCTTCGCACTAGCATGCAAGAAGCTCTTGGGAGTGGGAGGGACAAAGTCAGGGCCCACAGAACTGTAACAACATGGATCGACTGACCACATTCCTCCATAGAAACCATCAATAATGGGGTTCTGAGACTGCAGTAGTGAATGTGAGGCAGCAATGCTGCTATTCCTTGGAAGTGGGAAGGGTTCTGTCTCTCCTATTGCCATCATGGAACTCCTCAACGCACAGTGCCTTTATCAGTGTGGGGTGCAGGTTGTGCACATCCATGTATTGAAAACTGAGTTAGTCTGTTAGGGTTCGTCTACACTGCACGCTTATTTCAAAATAAGCTACTGTGGAAGAATTATTCCAAAATAACTTATTTTGAAATAGCACGACTACACTGCAGGGAAGCCTCAAAATTAGTCCAAGGTAGGCTTCCCTAATGTAGATGTGCTATCTCGATTGAGAGCCCCAAGAGGAACTGGGAAAGAATAACTTAGAATAGCCATGGTGAGGGGCTATTTCGAAATAGCAGCAGTGGAGCATCTATACACACCTTATTTCAAAATAGCTATTTCAGAAGAGGAGCTATTCCTCGTGGAATGAGGTTTACAGAAATCAGAATAAGCTGCCTGTTATTTCGATATTATTTCAAAATAACGGAATTGCTGTATAGATGCTCGCATAGTTATTTCAGAATAATTATTCCGAAATAACAGTGCAGTGTAGACACACCCTTAACGTCACCTCTAAACATAATGTACTTGTTAAATATTCTTCCTAAACAGTTTTTCATGGCTAATAAAAGATAGACACTCCCTGAGTTACAACCACCTCCACTTACGACCATCTGCACTTACAACCAAAGCAGTCGTAAATGCAGATCTGAGTTACGAACGGCGATCTGCACTTATGAGCAGCGCAGTCGCCATGTAACTCTATGGGATCCGAGTTACGAACACTTCGAGTTCGTAACTTGGGGAGTCGCTGTAAATAAATCATGCAGCTCAACATTTTTCCTATTATAGCTCCTATGTCCGTAAATCCATTAACTTCCAAACTCTCATAGACATTGATCCAAATTCTGTTTCACTCGTGCAACTGCATTGATAGTTCTGGATTTGCCCCAGTCTACATGAGAATAGAGTAAAGAACCTTTGTGCCGATTTATCTTTACAAATTCCTATTTATTAGCCCCTCCCACTCCAATAAATTGTCTTTGTTTTAAATCATGGTTCTTAGTAGCATTTTGAAGGCCAGACCTTTCCTGATTGGAATACTATTTATGAAAACACAATTATCTAGGAAAAGTGTGCCAAACACAAGAATTCAGAGTTCCCTTTTTTAACTTGGAATTTTAATCTCTGAGGTTCATAGCAGCATCTGCTGGTGGAATACTATAAATGCAAAACTAGAGCAGACATCAGCACAGTGAGTCATTAAATCAATTGTTTCACTTTGGTTCTTTACTATTAACAACATTATTTTCGTAAATGTTAGCATACAAGCTAAAATCTTAATATATGCTAATGAAATTAGTCTTGACTTTACTGATCCAACTTAAACAATGAATAGTCTAGCAGCACCTTAAAGACTAACAAAACACGTAGATGATAACATGAGCTCCAAACAGACATTTCTTTTGTCAGTAATATTCTTCACCTTGTTTTTTATTTTCTCAGTAATGTTATATGGCTTAAAGATATTCACCCAAACTGTCCCATTAAAATAAAATAAATGGATCCAAAATATTTTTACTATATACAGAACTAGAAGACTGACCTGGCATTGACTGGGGCCAGGCTTCTCCCTAGGTTTAGCCTGAGGTAGGCGGGGGCCATGAAAGCCCATGAGGATGTTGTTCTAAAGATGATAGGTATTAACCCAAAAACATACATCTACTATATATGGGTATGTCTACACTACCCCCCTAGTTCGAACTAGGGGGGTAATGTATGCATACCGAACTTGCTAATGAAGCCCGGGATTTGAATTTCCCGGGCTTCATTAGCATAAAGCCGGCACCGCCATTTTTAAAAGCCGGCTAGTGCGACCCCTGTGCCGCACGGCTACACGCGGCACAGACTAGATAGTTCGGATTAGGCTTCTAATCTGAACTATCTGTACGCCTCGTGGAACTGTACGCCTCGTGGCCTTGATATATACACTGTTGTCTCATATTACTATTGATTATATGCAGTTCATTTGCACATGAATGGCTTAGGCACTGTCTCTACCTGTACACAGGATGACATAAACCCTGTCCCAAAGATCTTACAGTCCACCGTAAAACTTCCTAATCAACAAGTCTTATCAAATACTGTAAGCTTTATATACTTTACTTGAAATCTTTGTCCTTATATAATCTACTATTAGCACCTGATCCTGATGAATCAATGTATGGGAAAGGGGCGGGGGAGGGAGAAGGGAGGAGTCTTGCAGGGCTGAACCCTAGTGTCATAGCAGAATGATCAAAATATTCCTACCTTGAAGGACACTTTTCACAATTGCGTCTGTGTGATCAGCCAGCAGATCTGCTTTGGTAATTGCAGCCAGGGATAGGTAACTTGACATGTTTCTACACAGTTCCTTGTTACCCCTCTGGAGAAATTTCACTGCCACTGGGACAGCTAAAGCCATTATTGGAGGTCGATTGTAATTCTGTGAAAAAAGGAGAGGACAATGACAATAAACAGCTAACAAATTATTATAATGAAGTTTAATGCTGCCAGAGTTGAAAACCTGGAATCAGATGATCAAGAAAACAAATGTATATAACACAGAGAACAATTGCTTTTGGGTAGCACCACTAATGTCAGACTTTAAAGAAGACAGGAAATGTCAAACTACTACAGCTCTAGGTGCTAATGTACCTATTTCCTACTTCAGCTGGAGTGTCAAATATACCCTGTAACTAGTAGTAAGAATAAAACTAGAATATTAACAACTGTAATACATAGCTTTTTATCTATTCTGGAATGAGTAACTCCATCTTGCAGCAGAAGAAATTGATGGAAGTTACTGTACAATATGCTACAGATAGGTGAATTTAGCTCACTGTATCGAAAGTGATAGACACTGGCATATTGCCTCAGTTCTTTCATTGTATACTGTAGTCTTCTCTATACTGGGAATTAGCCCCAGTTTCATCAGTCAGTAGCCATTAGTCAATGTGGTAGTACTTGCGCAAACAAGGAAAACTGCAATTTGTGGGGATGCAAATTACCCTGATTTCAAACAAGGGTAAGACTTCA